AAAACAAATTTCAGTATGAGTTTTGGAGGGGACACGCATTCAAACCATAGCACTTATACTGCTGAACAACTGGCTACAAATCAGTTCTCACAATCTCCTTCTTGGGTTTGATTAACTTGCTAGATCAGCTCACAGAACTCAGGGAAACCCTTTTAAAAGGAGGGACCCTGAGAAACTTCGAATAAACTTAGTTCACATTTTGCCTCAGCTTAACCATTTTTGCTTAGGCTGACATGCTTTGAATCTAGTAAAGGTTAGACATAGATAGATAAATTTCCAATTGGCAAGTTTTAGGAAGCGTTCAGACATTTTATTGTAAGCCAAGCTGGCAGCCAACCCCAACCCCTCGGCAAATCTCCATCAGATGCAAGACAAGAATAGCCCAACCTTTCAATTCAGGGGTTAATGTAATAATCTTTAAGAAACTGTCAGGCCCCTTAGTTGGTTGAAGCCATAAAAATGATAAGAAGACAACATTTTTTGCTAAAGAGCTGTGGTTTGGAAACGTCTGACAGGTCTCTTGCAGGAAAAACCCCTCCCCTTGTCTCCGCCCTTCTAGCTCACCACCCTGGCAGCAATCATATGACTAACCCACCCTTCTACCTGCTGCCCATACCTGTGCTTACCTGCACTTACCTGCCTCCGAATGATGATGTAGAACAGACCACCACCCAATCACCTTGATGACCTTCCCCCATCAAAGAGAAGGATTAAAAGAACTCAACCACAAGCATCCTGTTGCCATTGCCAGGCCATTGCTGCCATTGCCTTGCTAAGCTATGGTGTGACCATATGCTCTTTGAGCTATGACCAGGCCATGTTTCCTAGCTCTGGTCCCCTTCCCTACCTTGGGGAGGTGACTCTCCTCTTTCTCTCTCTCTTTCTAAATTTAGTTTTTAAATAAATTATATTTCCTAATCTAACTTCTGTGCATTCTTTGCATCTTTTATGTGGCACCAGATCACACCCCCAACGGGCCTAACCTAACATTCTGCAGGCCCCACTGGGTGTGTAACCTAACATTTTTGGAGGTCCCACCAAGATCTAACACTTTTACTCATGGTTACTGATTTATAAACAAATGATACAGATAAAGAGCCAGAAGAAGAGATAAATAGGGAAAGATCTTGAAGGCTACTGAGCACAGGAGCTTTTGTCCCCACCAAGCTGGCATGCACCACCCTCCCAGCCAAGTGGAGCTTTACTGAACCCTGTCTTTTGGGGTTTTATAGAAGCTTCATTACATAGGCAAGATTGATTAAATCATTGGCCATTCATGATCATCTCCACTTTCCGCACCTATCCCTTACGATATGTTAGTAGAGGAGGTGGAGCTGAAAGTTCCAACCCTCTAATCCCCTGGCAATCAGCTCCCATCCTGAGGTCATTCAGAAGCCCAAGAGTCACCTCATTCAAACAAAAGATGCTCTTATCATCCAGGAAATTCCAAGAGATTTAGGAGTGTCAGATGCTTCTACCAAGACTCAGGAAATTACAAAGGTCTTCAGAGCTCTGTGTCAGGAACCAGGAACAAAGACCAAATATTAGAACAAAAGATTCTCCTAGTGCTCTCAGGGGCCTTAGAAGCTATATATCAGGCACTGGAGACAGAGATAGATAGATGCTTATTATTTCACAAAAACTCCTACAAATTAATAGAAAAAAGCAGACAACCCAATTAAAAATCAGCAAGAAAGTTGGACATTTCACAAAAGAGGGTACATCAAAATGGTCAATAAATATATGAAAAGGTGCTCAGCATCATTAGTCACCAAACAAATGAACATTAAAGCCACAATGTGATACCACTGTATTCCTGCTAGTTTGGCTACATTTTAAAATGTACAGGTTAAGCAGTAGCTCACACATATAATTCCAGCACTTTGGAAGGTCAAGGTGGAGGATTGCTTGAGGCCAGGAGTTTGAGACTAGCCTGGGCGACCTAGCAAGACTCTGTCTCCACCAAAAAAAAAATTTTTTTTTGAGTTGGAATCTCACTCTGTCACCCAGGCTGGAGTACAATGGCATGTTCACGGCCACCATGGCCTCGACCTGCTGGGTTCAGGCAATCCTTCAGCCTAAGCCTTCCAAGTAGCTAGGACTACAGGCATGCATCACCACACCTGGTTAATTATTTGATTTATTATAGAGATTAGGTCTCATCAAATTGCCCAGGCTAGTCTCGAACCCCTGGGTTCAGGCAATCCTCTCACCTCAACCTCCCAAAGTGTTGGGATTATAGGCATGAGCCACCATGCCCAGCCTAAAAAACATTTTTTTTAATTAGCTGGTATTATGGCGTGAGCCTGTAGCCCAAGCTACTTGGGAGGCTGAGGTGGGAGGATCACTTGTGCCCAGGAGTTCGAGGCTGCAGTGATTTATTATTGTGCCACTGCACTCCAACCTGGGCAACAGAATGAGACCGTGGGAAATCTACATTGTTGATGGGAATGTAAATATATACAACCACTCTGAAAACTGTTTGACACTACAAATCATACATATATTCTATTCTAGTAATTTCACTCCTGGAATATATACCTCAAAGAAATAAATGCTTATGCATACCAAAAGACATGAATAAGAATGCTCATAGCAACGTTATTCATTATAGTAAAAACTTGAACCAGGTCCGCTGCAGTGGCTCACACCTCTAATCCCAACACTTTGGGATTGTAGCTTACCGCAGTCTTGAACTCCTGGGATCAAGTGATCTTCCCACCTCAGCCTCTCAAGTAGCTAGACCTACAGGCATGTACCACCATGCCCAGCTAACTTTTAAAATTTTTTGCAGAGATACGGTCTTGATATGTTGCCCAGACTGGTCTCAAACTCCTGGCCTCAAGTGATCCTCCTGCCTTGGCCTCCCAAAGCACTGAGATTATAGGCATAAGTCATCAAGCCTGGTCTGAATGTAAATTATGCCATAATATAAAAAATTAACTACTGAATTTTTAAAAGTTACAACATTTTTGTAACATTAAAAACAAAGGTATGGCCAGGTGTGGTGGCTCATACCTATAATTCCAGCACTTTGGGAGGCCAAGGTGAGAGGACTGCCTGAGTTCATGGGTTCAAGACCAGCCTGGGCAACTTGGTGAGACCTCATCTCTACAATAAATCAACAAAATTAGCTGGGCGTGGTAGTGCATGCCTGTGGTTCCAGCTACTTGGAAGGCTGAGGTGGAAGGATTGCCTGAGCCCAGCAGGTTGAGGTTGCAGTGGCTGTGAGCATGCCACTGCACTCCAGCCTGGATGACAGAGTGAGACTCTGACTCAAAAAGATAAAAAAATAAAAATAAATGATAAAAACAAAGGTATGATTTAGGATCTGGGAGAAAGAGAAGGGCTACGGAGCAGCTCACCCCTATCTCCTGTCCCATTCAGCTTGGCATAATGGCAGGTCCAGTGTTTGCTGTCTAGAGGCTGAAGACCATTGTCTTCTTTTCACTCCTGCACCATGGCCTTAGGATCCCGGCACTGCCGATTCCACTGGTCCTTCTCCCCTACACCTCCTAAAGAAGACTATACATTTCCTTTTTACCCCCTCTTCTGAAACATCCAAAGAAGATATGACTGAAGGGTCCAGTCAGTACAAATGCATAAAACATGTAGAGGCTCTGTTAAGTCCAAAGTCTTAAATTCTGTGGCACTTTTATGGAACATCTTTATGCAAAGACTCTTCTATGTTCCTGCGATACATCAGTGAACAAAACAAAGATCTTTACTTTAATGGTTATATTCTACCACAGAGAGTTAGTAAAAAATAAATAAGTGAAGTCATATTTTTAGAGGTGAGAGGAACAACAGAAAAAGGAAAACATAGCTGGGCGTGGTGGCATTCACCTGCAGTTCCAGCTACTTGGAAGGCTAAGGTGGAAGGATCACCTGAGCCCAGCAGGTCGAGACCATGGTGGCCGTGAGCATGCCACTGCACTCCAGCCTGGGTGACAGAGTGAGACTCCAACTCAAAAAAAAAAAGAAAGAAAGAAAGAAAGAAAAACATATAGTAGAATTAGGAGGATAGTTCATTCTAGGAGGGAGAAGGGATCTGAGTATTTAAAAGTTTGTGACTTAAAAAAAATTTTTAGGTATTTAAAATATTTAAGATTTCAACCAAGAGCAACCTACAAAAGTCACTGCACCCATGCCAGCTCTCGCATGTCTCCTTTTCTTTTCTCCATTTTTTCCCTAATAACATTGTTTTAAAATTTAAAACTTAAAAAAAAAAGTCACTGCTTCCTCCTGAAAGCAGAGATTCCTTGTAGCCAAGGAGGCCATCTTTGAGACTTCAGAGTTCTATCCTTTGTGATTAATGAAGTTTAGAGCAACATATCAAAACCTGACTCAAGCCAGGCAAGGTGTGCCTCCTTTACATTAATTCTCATTTTCACAAAATCTGAGTGGGCTCCTCTCTCAAAACTGGACTATCTATTCATGATGATTAGCCACAGACCTGCATGAATAACCAGCACCACCTGACAACAAACCAGGTCATGGGCAAGAGGCAAGTACACAGCAGGGCCGCCCAGAGCTTTAAGCAAGGAGCATGCATCACAGATGCAAGGCAGGCATAATCAAGAAAGTCTCCATCATCGCACGTTTCTCCTAAACACAGTGGCCTGCCAAAGGTCCAAGATGGGTTCAAAGATAAGCCTAGCTTAAAAGATCAGGATTCCAATTCTTGAATTCTCTAATGACTGAATTCCCTAATGCCAGCACAAACAGCTGACAAAATAAACATTGTTAGTTTCCTCTCCTCCCTGTTCCTAGGTCAAGACCAATCCTTAGGGAAAGGTTGAGTTCAAACCTCTGCCCACGTGTTATTGATCTATCCATCCCAGAGCAGAGACTGCTGCTGCTGGGCAGGGCATTGACTCTGATCCAACTGTAAGTCTAGGTCACACAGTGGATCCCAGGAGAAACTTAACTAAGAGAAGGCTGAAACTCTGGGGAGCTCTGTTTGGAGAAAGGATCCACAATAAACTGGAGCCTCTTACCAGTTGAAGAACAGATCTGCAGAGGTTCACGCAACGATGGAGCAGCCGTAAACCCTTGTGTTTCTCCTTGGCTAGAGCCTTCTGCAGGTCCAGCAGCTCATAGCAGTGATCCAGTTCCCTGGGAAGCCAGGATACAGATCGTAGCTCCTGCAGAAGCCTGGAATCAAGAGCTAACATGGTCAGAGCTAGTGTCCCCTCCTTTCTTGGACACCTCTGACTCTCCTCACATCCCAGGCTGAGCAAATGTTCACCAAGATTGTATTATTTCCGAAGATGATCTATAGTGATAGCTCCCTCTTGAGAGTTCTTTTGGAAGAGTACAAGCCTAGAAAGCTGCTGGCTGGGGAATTATTTGAGAAAGGCTTGGAGTATGTGCAAATGTTTATATCTATTGATCTCTCTGCTAGGAGAGAAGGTCATTAAGTCCCAAGGTCTGACTTAGATGGAGAGACTACAGAGGCTTCTTCCTTGAAATAGGGGGAGCTGAGGGCCCTAAAAGTCTAGGCAAACAGGTAAATTTTAGAATCAAATTGAGGAAAAGAAAACGTTTCTATGGGCTGACCATCCCTAAGGAAATCCATTTCTATTATCCATGCCTCATCCTCCCCAGAGAACTCCACGTCTCTAAACATTTTTGAAAAAGATAAAAAGCCCCAATAAGCAGACAGAATGATCATAAGGGGTGTCATCTACTCAGTGCCCACTAGAGGCACTGAATATGGTACTTTGTATTCACAGTCTCATTTAATTCCCACTATGAAATTAAATCTAGGAATCTTTACCCTAGCTTGCAAATCAGGAAACTGAGGCTCAAAGACTGAAGTCCCTTGATAGTGCTCAGGGTCTAAATTCAGATCTGTCCAGCCTCCCAAGCCTTTATGCTTTTAATTATACCATGATGACTAGGCTAGAATGTAGGATGGAAACTCCCTAGAGTGTGGACTGCAAGTTGGTAAACAATGGATCAAATTCAGACTGAAAAGTGTTTTAATAAGTACCACTAAGAGTTGGCCAACACATGATGTTTTAATAGAATTTTGAATAAAATTTGGTTGAAATTTGCATTAAGAAGTTTCACAACAAAATGTGAATTTCCAGAAAATCCTGAAAAATAAGATGACTGATCACACTGGATACATATTCCCAAATGACAACAATTGTTGGAACTGAGTAGTGACTGTCCTCTTTAGATGCAATCTCTGACTGCAGTTCCCATGCTCCCTGATGCCTTACACCTAACCGACTGCATTCCTTCAGTACCTCTTGCTTTGGCCCTCTAGGCATTGAGTTTGCCACCTGTATCTCAGAATAGACCTAAGAGGAGCTGAGGAATCATGTGGAAGAAGCGAGAAAGTACTGGAAACAGGAATAACCAGTCTTTTCCAAAAAATGAATCCAAGTAATATCTTGGAAAAGAGCAGAGAGTTTCGATCCAAACATCTGAGATTGACAGTTAATAACTATGTGATGTGCAAGTTGATATAGGATAATATGGAATTACATGAAGATACACTCAGAGCATATGATTCAGAGGAAAAATGTATGTAAGGTATGTTCATATTTTGCATATGTGACAGAAAGAAAGGTTAAAAGTATATGTAACAAAATGTTCATAGTGTTTATTAAAAGTTGTTTTCCTTGTGCTTTTTTATATTTTTCAAATTTTCTACAATTAACATGCTATTGCCTTTTTTAAAACTAATTTTTTTTGAGACAGGGTTTCACTCTGTCACCTAGGCTGGAGTACAGTGGCACAATCATGGCTCACCACAGTCTTGAACTCCTGGCCTCAAGCAATCCTCCTGCCTCAGTCTCCGGGGCTACAGTCTGACTGTAGCCGGGGCTACAGTCATGCACCATCACACCTACCTTATGTTCCCATTTTTTTTGTAGAGATGGCTATTTTTCTATTTTTCTGTTTCTTGCTTTGTTGCTCAAGTTGGTTTTGAACTCCTGGCCTCAAGCAGTCCTCCTGCCCCAACCTCCCAAAGTGCTGGAATTACAGGTGTGAGTCATCATGCCCAACTCAAAACTAACTGTTAAAAACCCACTGATATTGCATTTTTAATACCTCACCTGCTAATGTGGAGTAGCCCAGCTCCAAAGTGGGGCACAGCAAAGAGCAGATGATTCCCTAGGAAACTCCGGAGCCGATGCAGACCCTGCAGCCTCACATTCCTCTTCCAACTACAAGTTAGAGGTCAATGACAATACGCAGTGGCTGTTATCCATTTCCCCCCAAATCACATATCCATCATACCTACCAGACCAAGGACTTGCGTAAGAGGCAATACTTAAAGAATGGAATGAACTGGAGCTGCTGCCAGAGAACAGAGTGGCGGTGCCAGGTGCCCAGCGTCATCGTCTCACTACCATCCACAGGATGTATATGCAGGATCCCAAAGGGAGAAAAGACGTAGTGCTCAGGATTCACCTTGTTGTGTGGCACTACTATCAGGCTGTAGGGGCTTCAAAAAAGAGCTCTGATCGGTGGAAGCCCTGGGAACTTGTGTAGACTTCAAGAAGAGAAGGATGGAGATGAGAAAGGAGGCAGGAAGGCAGGTAGAAGAAATAGAAAAGAGAAAAGACAGCAAAGTGTTTTCAAACTAGAAAGATGAAATAAATATTCTTTAAAAGAAATTGAAATCAAAGATAGATGAGTAGAAATAAAAAGGCACCTAGCCAGTTCCAAGAAGTTCATCTCTCCATTTCCAGATATCTTACATCCCATTGAATCTAAGATATCATCAATTGTAGCTGCAACATTATTTTATGAAACACTAAGATTACAAAAATGTTTCTTGCTATTCAGAATTCCACTACAGATGCAAGAAAAAGTGTCCTTGTTCTTTCTGTCCATCTGATTGTGGAAGTCAAGATTGAATAGAGGAATGCAAGAGAGAAGAAGGAAAAGGAAAAAAAAATGCTTTTAATATAATGTTCCATCAGTTTGTAAGATGCATCACAATTTCAGAGATGTTAAAATGTGAAAAAATGCTCATCCTAGAAATCATAAAATATGTGTATGCCTAGGTCCTGGAAGATATGCAGAGATAAGTCAGAGAATATTATTTGGGGTAACTGAGATGGGGGGAAAGCAAAGGGAGAAGACAAGACTAGAAACAAGTAAATAAAGAGAAAATCGCAATTTAGTGAACAAGATAAGTACCTCCAGGGCCATCTTAAATTCCTAATAGACCTTGGGTTCTCTTTCTTCTGCAAAATGCACCTATATCCCATATTAAATGCAATATATATGTAGCTATATAATAGGTATATCTAGCTATAGTAGACCAGTTAGCATAATGCTATGTTTAAGTGCATTTAATAAAGCATTAATTTTTATTTTTCAGTTTTCTTTACATATCTCAGAGTGAGCAATATTCTTAAGCCTTTTAAAACTGGATCCTAAAGAGATAAAATAGCCCTCCTCTATCTCTTATCTCTCTCTACTTTCTAGAATCCATTATTAATCACTTAAGAGCATTTAAATAGATACCAGAATAGATTCACTGTCAAATCATTAAAAAAAGTTATTCTTTTTTTGACTAGACTGTCTCAAGTATAGTACTACTATCTCCAAATTATAGATAAGAAAACTGAAACAAAGAGAAGTTAAGGCTTTGCCTAAGGCAATTAAGGGACGAGTACAGAATTTAAAACCAAATTTACCTGACTCGAACCCCCCTCCCTTAACCAGGGGCCATTTAACATCCCACAGGGTAACTGGCTATCTTAACTGAGCCCTGGCTCTCCCTGGGAAACACCTCTTTCCCTCTGACCTACTTATTGCTTAATAGAGGCTGCTCCTTCCATGTAGGGCCAGGAGTCAGGGCACACTCTCCTCATTCCCAACAGCCACTGCTCCTTTGGGAGAATATTCACTCATTCCACAAATGTTTATTAAGGCCAAGCACTGTGTCAGCCACTGAGGATACAGCAGTATACATGAAAAATCCAATCCCTTACTTCATGGCACTTAATTAAACCACTTATCAGGATTCCCTTCTGTTCAAGTATTGTGGTCAGAGATGAGGACATAACAATGACTTCTATATAGTCCTTGGCCTCAAAGGGCTCGACATCAACTGGACTATTGAGTGATACCAGAAAGTAAATGGGGAAAATCAAGATCTTCTCAAGACCCAAATCCAAACATTCAGCTTTTTCCAAAACATCTCAAACCCTGTGTCTTGCACATACCTGAAACACAGCAAATTTTACACTAAACTCATCATCTACCCCCTCCAAATCTATTCCTAATCTGACCAATTAGTTCATTCACTCAACAATTATTACTAAGTTTCCACTCTATGCCAGGCTGTTCTAAACCCTGGGGACACATTATTAAACATAACAAACCCAAACCCCTGCCATGATGGAACTCTCTTTCTATTAGAGAAGAAAGATGATAAACATAATAAATGATAGGGAGTTTTGTTTTGTTTTTTTTAAGTAAGCAAAGAAAGCCTGGCAGTTCCAGGGAAGAAGGGAGTGCAATTTTAAATGGATTGGTAAGGTTGGGAAGTGACAGTTGAGCCAAGACTCTAAGGAGGTGAAGGAATAAATTCCTCCCTAAGTGTGAACCAAACTCTAGAACAGATACAAGAAAAATTTAATAAATTCAAGCACATTTTTTAAAAACAACACTGTTACATGAAAAATAATTAATTAAATAAAACAAGTGAATGAGGGTTCTCCTCTTATTGATAGGATACTAGAAATGTGGACCAATACCCCTACCTGAGAACAACTAGAAAAACCAGGCCAATAATCTGATAAAATATGAAAACCATCTGATGAACACACCAGAGAGCCCACAAATTAAGTCCCCTGGGCTTTGGGTTGGGGCCCCAATTAGTTACAACATAGAAGTAAAGTTGAACCAGAAATATACCTACCTCCTTGGTATGGGGCTTGAACTGCAACTTTTGCTTGTTTTAGTTCCCTGAGTCTGTTGCAGGGTTGGTTTTCCTTCTCAGTGTTTCAGGAATGTATAATAAAATTGACATACAATTACTTCTACTGGAATCGACAGGTCCTCTATTTGGGCAAAAGCAGCACCAAATGCTGAACTCACAGCACTGGGTTTCCTCCTTGACAGATCTAGGCCCTGTGATCATTCGCTGACTTTTAGTTCTCTTGCTCACGGTTTCTTGTCTCTTGATGTGTGTAATTATCATTGATCGAGATGCTTCTCTGATTATGACTGATGCTGATAGTTTAAAGTCTTAAGCTTTCATTTGCTTTCTGTAAGCTCTCCATTACAGTCGGTAGGTATTCCATCCCACATTCCTCACTGCTGCCATTACTATAATTACCACCATGACAGTCAAGCGCACCATCCACTAGGTATTAGTAGGGTAGTTCATCATATTTAACAAGTGATCATTTAATTAATTGTGGTGCCACTACATATCGTGGATTACTAGTATCCTATTTCCTATTAGCAAGAAGTTCCGTACTGTTTCACATCAAGGACATTACCAAATGAATATGAGAATCCCATATTTGAGGACAGTTTTCTGGGATCCCTTATAATACCAGTACTGCGTCAGTCAAGGTCCAGTCAGGAAAGCTGAAACAATACAAGGCCTTTCAACAAAGTAAATTTAATAAAGAGAATGTGTTTTTAAAAATATGTCAGAGGAATAAAAAAAAAAAAGGGAACACTAAGGTAGCATAGAGATAATAACTCCAGAAAATAGATACCAGCTTTAGAACTAGAGGAATGAAGGCAAGAGATTTGGCTTATTAGAAGCTACTAATATAAGCTTGGAAGAAGGGCTTGTAGAGTTGGGATTCAGATTTCAAGGGAGGAGATGCTGGCTGGCTGCTATTAGTACCTAAGGAGTTTGGAGGAGGGGACTTGCAGAGTTAAGACCCAGAACACTGAAGGAAAGGTGCTGCCAGCTGGTGTTGGTAACTCTCAGAGTTACAAAGAGGCTGATTTGGAAAGTGCCTGCTGCTGCCAAGGTGAGGAATCCTTACTGCAGTAACAGTGACAGGAAAAGCAAGAAAAGGAGGAAGAAATCCCTTTTCCTTTTACCCTGTGGTCCAGTCTCCCTCTAGAACCCTCTGTTAATCAAAGCTAATAGTAGAGCAGCAGGAAAAGAAGAAATAAAATTTGCAGAGTCCCAGCCCCAGTATCACAAAGCAAAGAGAGAAAAGTAGAATTAGAGCCAAAAGACAATGTATATGGCATGTTGCTCTCAGCGAATGAGTCTTAAATGAATTGATCAGACATGAATGAAATGATACAGATCATTAATACTATCTAAGTTCAGCAGAAAGAGATAACTGTGTTTCTGGGAGGCTGTATCAGATATTGCTTAAGAGCATGAAATCTCGAGTTAACATAGTTCTAGGTTTAAGTCTTGCTTCCACCATTTACTATGTGACTTTGGACAAGTTACTTAACCTCTCTACATACCTTAATATGGAAACAATGATACCTGTTAGGTGAGGAATTAAATAACACATGTCATGTGTTTATTAGTACAATACCCAATATATAGAAGAGTTTAATTAATGGCAATGACTAGGGCTTTTAAAAATAGGGAAGAGGCCATTTCTTTGCTAAACTACATCTGACCACGTGTTTTTTTGAGCTATGGCCAGGTCATGTTTTCCTAAGCCTTAGCCCCTCCCCTACCAGTCTCTCTGTTTTGCTCTCTCTCTCTCTCTCTCTCTCTCTCTCATATCCCCTCTCCCTACCTCTAATGTACTTTCTAAATAAACTGTATTTTCCAACCTAAAAAAAAATAGGGAAGACCTGGAGCTCATGGGGGAAAGAGAATGAATGCCTCTTGAGACATACAGAAGGAAGAGAGTTAAATTTGTTTTCATAGCCCCAGAAATAAAACTAGGACCAGGAGGTAGAAGTTAAAATAATGCAGATTTTGATTCAGTCTAAGGAATAGGATGCCTTGGGAAAAACAAAGCTTCCCTGATACTGCAAAGATTTAAACAAATACCTAATTCTTGCATTGGACTTGAAAGAGATCACCATAAAATTTGCTTCTGAGTCTATTACCAAATGTTTCTATTATTCTAGTTTAGAATAAAGGATAAATAGCAAAGAAGTGAGAAAAGGATGACTACCACAAAAGGCTGTGAGAGAAAAGAGGAGGTGGAGAGTGGATAGGAGGAGGCCAGGGAGAAGGGGAGGGGAAGGGAAACTGCCAGACAGAGGAGGAGTATGTAGACAAAGGACAGGGAAGAGGAGTGGGCATGTGGAGAAAGAGGAGGGGGAAGCAGCATAAAAGGAAGTCAAGCAGGGGGAGGAGAAGGGGTCTGGACACAGGCTCTTACCTAAAGTACCGGCTTGGAGCCACATTGAGGTAGAGGAAGTGGATCTTCTTCAGGTCTCTCTCTGTCTTTAGAATGGTCATCACCTGGCTACCCAGGAAGGAAGTCTCAGGTAAGAAGCCAATGCTTCTCTTTTGGAAGGTCTTTTCCCTAGGAGCGTCATATACAAGCTGAGACCTGTATGACAAAAAGTCAGAAGAGAAAAGTCAGAGCAGATGTCAGGGACCTAGAGGTGGGCCTTACCACTGGCCAGTAAAAGGAGAAGCTAAATCAGGTGTCTGAAGGGACCTGATGTGGCACTGTCAGAGCCTGACTGCCACCTGTGCTCAAAGATGTCACATACTGAACAAATACAGTGCATCATATAACATAGGCAACTACAGTCACACAAACATGTGCATGAACAACCCCTCCCCTTCTGATAATGAATAATCATTCTGGATTGATCATCATTAATGTGAAGTCAGTATTACATAATACTGTGTACAAGCACTGGAGAGACTTTATTTTCCCAACTCATCACCCTGTAAGCCCATGGTCCTCGATTTCTCCTCTCTCCAACTTTTTAACCTTCCAGATCTGATATTCTATCTTTGCATTCATTACACCTGCTTTCCAACCCTTTATGATCTCCATGCCTGTTACTTTTTCTTACTGTTCCTCCATCGTCACCCAACCTCTAGCTTCATATTCTTACCTTTCCTGCCAAGATCTATTGGTGCTCCCTAAAGCTTACACCAATACTCTTACCTTCTTACTCTTCTACCATACTTGTCAGCACAATTGGTATAGAAATTAGTTACCAAGAACCCAAAGTTGAATTTCCTGGATAATAATTTTGATTGGGGTGACTTAAGAGCACACACACACACAAATTTTGGAATGATTTAATGTAGACTTAATTGTCTAGGTATACTAGTATTAGTAATTGGCCCAAACTTAGATCAACAGAACAAGTTACCTTAGGGATAACAGTGCAATCCTCTTCTAGAGTTTATATCAACAGTAGGGTTCATGACCTTGATACACTCACCCTTGATAAACTGTTCTGTTGGATAAGGACATCTTATATGGTAAAACTGTTATTAAGGGTTCATTTCTTCAGCAGTTAAAGTCCTAATTCAGGGCTTGGTGGCTCAGTCTGTAATCCCAGCACTTTGGGAAGTCGAGGTGAGTAGATTGCCTGGTGCTGAGGGTTCGAGATCAGCCCAGGTAATTTGGTGAGACCTCATCTCTACAATAAATCAAAAATTAGCCAGGCACGGTAACACGTGACTATAGTTCCGACTACTTGGAAGGCTGAGGCAGAAGGATCGCCGGAGCCCAGCAGGTCGATGCTGCGGTAGCAGTGAGTGTGCTACTGCACTCCAGCCTGGGCGACAGAGTGAGACTCCAACTCAAAAAAAAAAATCCTGATATAGTATATTCAGAAGATCACAGAACAAAGAATATTGGCTTCTCTACAGGTCCCTTGTGTCCAGTCTAAATGGTGGGCTCATTCTGCTCTGGTATCTTAGTATAAGTCCTCAGGCAAGTCAGTTCTTTCAGGCCTCTCAAGCTGTCATACTTAACCTCATGCTTAGCTCTGCCAAGCCCCCAGTCCCATCCCATTCTCCACCTCCTTCCCTGCCTGAAAAAACTGAGGCTCACAACCATTAGCTAACTCCCTCTACTTTGGTTGCCTTTCCATACACTTATCTGTCCCCCAGTTTGAGAGGGAGAAATATCCTTTATTCTCTGTGAGACTAATTCCTCCATCAGTGCTCTGGATCCCTTATCCCCTCTCTATGAAATATTTTAAGTCTCCTCTTCTTGCTTTAGCCTATTTATTCATTCAGTCTACAAATATTTATTGAGCATCTATTTCTCAAGTACCATCTTGGGGACTGTAAACTTCTATCTTAAAAAAAAAAAAAATCCTACCCAGACATCAAAATTCTTTCACTGCTGTCCTACTGTTTCTCTTTCCCTTTCAAACAAAACTTAATTTAAAGATAGTAAAATGTGATTTCCACCTCATCTCCCATTCACTCCTCAATGTACTACAATCTAGCTTCTTCTCCACAAAATTCCGCTAAAACCACTCACCAACCTTTTCCTTGTTGCTAAATCCTAACCTGCAAATATATTTTGTTTGTCTAATCTAGACCCAAACTCCCTCAGATGTGCTTTCTGTAGACACACACACTCCAGAGGAGCAGCCAGGCAAAAGGCAGTTCTCTTTTGTTTTATAGCACTTATTACAGTTTGTAATTATTTTTTACTTATATTTATCTCCCTGACTAAAATGTAAAATCCCAAGGGAAGTGATTGGGTCTGTTTCATTCACTTCTGTATCCCCAGCACCTAGCAGTTCCTGATACATATAGGTTTCCAGTAATACTTATTGAATGAATAAATGTCTGAGAAGTCAGTCCTGGAGGACTTAATCATACTAGCTAGACCTCAGAGGTTGATTGCCAGGTTGAAAGAGAGGACAGAGAACTTGACCCTTTTCCAAAATCTCAGCCCATTGCCAATTCAGTTAAGTTCCCCCAGGAAAGGAAACTTGTACTTGGTGCAGAGTTCAGTTCTTTGAAAAAGAAAAATACTCTGATGGGGCTGTTGAAGGGATACATTGTGCCACTGGCCACCTTCCATCAGGATCTCAGGAGCCTCCCTAGCTGCCCAACATTAGAGCTTTAACAGAAAGACTTGATCCAGCTGTGCATGGTTGGTCACGCCTGTAATCCCAGCACTTTGAGAGGCTGAGGTGAGAGGATTGCCTGAGCCCAGGAGCTCAAGACCAGCCTGGGCAATATGGCCAGACCTCGTCTCTACAATAAATAACACAATTAGCTGGGCATGGTGGCACAAACCTGTAGTCCCAGCTACTTGGAAGACAGAGGAGGAAGGATTGCCTGAGTCTAGCAGGTCAAGGCTGCAGTGGCCATGATTCTGCCACTGCACTCCAGATTGGGTAGCATAGTGAAACTCTGGCTCAAAAAAAAAAAAAAAAAAAAGACTCGATCCAGTCATAAATATACAGCAAAAACTTGAGAAGTCCAGCTAAACTAAAGGTAAAACTAGCCTTCTTCCTAGACTGTAAACGTCACAGACAGTTGCAAAACATCTAGAAAATGAGGCCAGAGGATAAGAAGAATTATAAGACTAATGTTAAAGAAATCTTAGAAGAGAAGACCTCTGGAGGCATTCTGAACGCCAGATTTTGAGGAAAAAAAGATATTTTTGAGTGCCCACATTGGGAAAAAGAGTGCCACATTGGGTAGGAAAAAGACTCTGAAAGGATCATAATAAAATACTATCCTGTATGCTGCCAACTCTACTATTCTGCCTTGGAGCTGGGTTAACTCACATAGACATATGTGGGAAGGCCATTCAGACAAGCACTTCCTATGAGTATCCTGAGGGAAGGACGCAGTATCCAGGACAAGGTTGGCCCAGAGGCAAGGCTCAGTGATTATGAATGTACTGGAAAAAGAACTAAGAAGGCTTCTGGCAGCATCTAAGAAAGAAATCTGGAAACTGGAAAGTTATGATGTGAGTCTAAATCTTTGGCTACCTCATGGCTAATTTCTGATTTTCATTAATTTCTGCATTTCCCTATGAGGATTAACACTAAGACCACTGAGTTTATTTTGCAGACAAAAAGGAAGAGAGGAACAGCCTCACACCAGCTTGGCTTGGGATCAGGCTAATCTCTAAGATAGCTGACTCTAGACAACCAAGTGACCCTAGAAGCATCCATAAAATTGCTGCTGCTTCTCTACTCCAAGCCCGAGGAGGGGTCCCTCACTTACCTAGTCTCTCTTCCTCTAACAGTTTCCTCTTCTGTGTTGTTGGTGTCACAGCTCTTATACTGTACAGGGATGTCCGTTGCCAGTGCCAAGGGCAGGAGACTAAGTCCATCCAGCCACAAGGTCTCTTCGAGGGCTACCTCAGCACCAACAATGCCCAGGCAGTGCTGTAGCTCAGGCAGTGTCAATGGTCGCAGCCATGTGGTCAACTTCTCCTTTACTTGCTGCCCACCCCACCGGGCCTGCACAAAAGGGCAGACTGGGCATGGGCGCCCATGATGGAACCTCTGTTTCTGGGGATAGCAGTCAGCATGGGAAGCACTGTCTAACAAAGAGTTGTCTGGAGGAAAAGCCTGATCTATGGCATCCAACAAGTCCAGCTGTAGCTGGGTTTGGACCCAGGGTGCCCAGCAGTACAGCTGCTCCAAGAAGGGCAGCAAATCAAGGTGACCCACTAGAAACTCACGATATGGATGCAGCAAACCCAGTACTCCATGCAGGTAGTGCCAAGCTGCAGGGCTACGGTCCTGCAGCACAGCTGAGAACAAAGTTCGGAGCTCAGTTAGCAGGAGCTCTAGCACTGTGGGCTGCTTTGACTCGGTCACTGGCTTTAGGAACTGCCTCCGTTTTCTCTGACAGTCCGAGGGCTGCTGTTTGCTGTCCAGGGCACATACAGAGTGCCAAGACTCAAGGGCATCAGACGATGCCTCATCAGGCGACAAACCTACCCTCCTTTCCTCTTGGACCAAGAGGAGCTGGGCATTCAACTGCTGTCGAAGTGACCTTGCCCACAGCTTAGGCTCCAACTGCCAGTTCCAGCCTTCCCGCTTCTGGGCCTCACCTGCATGGGCCAGCCCAGGAGAAGGTCCAGAGAAGGGACCTCAGGCTCGGGGCTGGTTATGGTCAGGGTCAATGGGGTTGGGGAAAGTGGGAGGAAAGGACCTAGGACAAGGAAATTAATGGAACTGCAGAGCAGAGCCACACCAGCAGAGGGCGTTTCCAGAGACCCTCAAGCCCTTCCCACAGCTTCCCCAAAGATCAAGTAGGAAGCAGGCCTAGGACAGAGGTGGGAGCCCTCACTGCACAAGAGTTCCTTCCCACCTCCCAGTACCCTGTCCACCTTACCTGGCCTAAGAGGTGTAGGAGGCAGGGGAAGGGAAGAGGGCCAGATATGCCGATGAGGTTTCATTGGGGAGTGCCTACTGGAGACACGAATGAACTTAGAACCGGTCACAGGCTCACCCTAATCGCAGCCATCCACACACAAGAGACTAGTACACACGTGTAAGCACTTGAAGAGGCAAGCTGGCACCCCGACAGAGCTCACACAGAACCTGAGTCACAGCAAGACCCTTCACTCGGGGTGGCGATCGCCTGAAAGGGATGAACAGTCGTCACTCAGAGGCAGCGAAGCCCCAGTCCCATGACGTCTTCGCCCACAGGCTGAGGAGGTTGTGAGGACAGAAAGCCGAGGAGAGGGCTTGGTCAGGCTATGGTAGGAGAAGCCGACAGGAAGAAAGCACAAAGGAGTGGGCTGGGAAGGGGAGAAGAGGAAGTAGACTCTGGGGTAGGGGGTCTTCTTGAGGGCAGGGGAGAGAGCGGGTCGTGGGGATGAAGGGAAGCGGATCCCGAGCGGGACCGAGGACTCACCCGCAGTTCCATCAGCTCCCAGCTGTTAGAACGGTTACAAGACCCTGGGAACACACAGGGGGGCCAGAAAGAGGAGGGGCCATGGTCGAATGTGGGCGGGCCAAGGGGGTGAGCAGAGCCAGAGTCAGGAGGGGTGGGGCCCGCCTGCAGGATGCCGCTTGCCTGTGAAGATACCTGCAGAGGACAAGGTTGGGTCTGAAAACGAGTGGCACGTTCATTCGGGAGACTAGCAATCCAGAGGGCGTCGTGAGCAAGTGTAATCCATGTTCCTGTTTACCCATTCTCTGAGTATCCAAACCACTGCCAGGTCCCAACAAAGTAAACCTTTGGGACATCCCTCACCCCCAACATATCCCTCCACCCCATCCCACCTCCCCAAAAGAATCCGGATTAAGACTAAATTCTTGATCTCAGGGCGTTCAAAATTTAGTTGGGAGGGGCGGGGGTAAAAGTGTGGGGGTGGCTGAATGAATTTTTAAAATTCAGCTGAATGATTTTTTAAAAAATAGAAATTTAGCTCAATACATCCAATTACTTAATGTCTCCACTTGGATAGCTGATAAATATCTCAAACTTAAAGCGTCCAAAAGTAGGCCGGGCTCGGTGGCTCAGCCTGTAATCCCGCGCTTTGGGAGGCCAAGGTGAGACCCACCTGGGCAACTTGGTGAGACCTCATCTCTCTACAATAAATTTAAAAAAAATTAGCCGGGCGTGGTAGCGCGCGCCTGTAGTTCCAGCTACTTGGAAGGCTGAGGCAGAAGGATCGCCAGAGCCCAGCAGGTGGAGGCTGCGGTGGCAGGGAGTGGCCACTGCACTCCAGTCTGGGCGACTGAGTGAGACTCCAACTCAAAAACAAACAAACAAACAAACAAAAAACCTCCAAAAGCAGACTCCCAACCACCCTCTTCCAAAAGAAACCTGCTCCTTTCTCTTTTCACTGTCTTTCCTATCTCAGTGAACAGCAAGTCCATTTTTTACTAGCTGCTCTGGCCAAAACCTTGAAGTCACCTTTGACATCTCTTTTTCTCTTTTTTTTCTCTTTTATGTACCATAACTAATCCTTCAGGAAATTTTTTGGGTCATACCTTCAAAATATATGCAAAATCCAACTATTTCTCATCATTTTAAGTGCTACAACCTTGGTCTAAGCTGCATCATTTCTCACCTGGGTTTTCCATGGCCTTCTGACTGGTCTTCTTAATTCCACCCTTGCCCCTACAATCTATTCTTTTCAGAGAAGCCAGTGGCCTTTTTCAAATATAAGCAGATACTATCACTATTCTTCTCATAGCTCAGTAATAGGCCAGGCTCATGCCTGTATTCCCAGCGTTTTGGGAGGCTGAGGTGGAGGATTGCTTGAGCTCAGAAGTTTGAGACTAGCCTGGGCAACATAGCAAGACTTCCTCTCTATAAACAAACAAACAAAAAAACCTCACTAATGCCTTATCAGCTTATTCTCTCAGGTGAAAACCAAAATCCTACCATGGCCTACAAATTGCTATTTGAAAACTGACTGCTCCTTTGGGGTCTTCTCTCTCCATATTCACTCCTGCTGTGCCTAGATCACACCAAATATACTACCACTTCAAAGCCTATATACATGCTGTGCTGTCTGCTTGTGTATTAGTTAGGCAGTATACAAGTTGTGGTGGTTAATTTTATGTGTCAACTTGACTGGGTTAAGAGAAGTTCAGATAGCTGGTAAGACATTATTTCTGGATGTGTCTTTGCGGATATTTCTGGAAGAGATTAGTATTTGAAAAGGTAGACTGAGTAAAATAAACATCCTCATCAATCATCCAATCTTGTCTGAATAGAAAAAGTGGAGGGTGAAGTTGGTCTCTTTTTCAGCTGAGACATCTGTCTTCTCCTGTCTTTGGACATCAGTACTTCTGATGCTCAGGCCTTCAAACTTGGATTAAATTACACCACTGGCTTTCCTGGTTCTCAGGCTTGTACACAGCACATTGTAGGGTTTCCTGGCCTGTCAGTTCTGTTTTTCTGAAGAATTTTCTCTAATGCACAAATTTTCCGCAACTGTGCAACAAATTATCACAAACTAATCAGCTTAAAAAACGAGACCCATGTAGAATCTCACGGTTCTGTAGATTAGATATCCAGCATGACTTGACTGGGTTCTCTGCTCAGGTTATCATATGTCTGTAAATGCCTGAAATTGATGTATTTATTGGACTGAAGTTGTCTTTTTTTTTTTTTTTTTTTGAGTTGGAGTCTCACTCTGTCACCCAGACTGGAGTGCAGTGGCCGCTCCGGGCCACTGCAGCCTCGACCTGCTGGGCTCCGGTGATTCTTCTGCCTCAGCTTTCCAAGTAGCTGGAACTACAGGCACGTGCTACCACACCCAGCTAATTTTTGATTTTATTGTAGAGATGAAGTCTCTCTACAATACCAAGTTGCCCAGGCAAGTCTCGAACCCGTGGGCTCAGGCAATCCACTCACCTCAGCCTCCCAAAGCCACCGAGCCAGGCTTGGACTGAAGTTTTCATTTGGAGGCTCTGGGGCAAAAATCCACTTCCAAGCTCATTGTTATTGGCAAGATTCAGTTCCTTGCAGTCCTTGCAGGACTGAGGTCTCTGTTTCTTTCCTGGCCATCAGCTAGGGGCACCCTTAGGTCCTAGAAGCAACCTCTCTTCTTCTATTTTATTTTATTTTTTTGAGTTGGAGTCTCACTCCATCGCCCAGGCTGGAGTGCAGTGGCACGCTTACAGCCACCCCAGCATCCGCCTGCTGGGCTCTGGTGATCCTTCCACCTCAGCCTTCCAAATAGCTGGAACTACAGGTGTGGGCTACCACATGCAGCTAATTTTTTTTTATTTATTGTAGAGATGAAATCTCACCAAGTTGCTCAGGCTGTTTTCAAACCTGTAGGCTCAGGCAATTCTTCTCACCTCGGCCTCCCAAAGTGCTGGGATTACAGGCTTGAGCCACCGCGCCCAGCCAGCTACCTATCTTCTTTGCCACCTGGTCCCTCCATCTTCAAGCCAGCAACAGTGCTTCAAACCCTTCTCATGCTTCAACTTTTTCTGATGTCCCTTCCACAACCAAAGAAAACACCCTGCTTTTAAAAGGCTTGTATGAAAAGAAGACATACAGGCAGCCAACAGATACATTAAAAAATGTTCAGCCTTACTAATCATCAAAGAAATGCAAATCAAAACCACACGGAGTTACCACTTAAGTTCAGTCAGGATGGCCATCATAAATAACTCAAAAACCAATGGAGGCTGGAGAGGCTGCAGAGAAAAGGGAACTCTTCTACAAGAGGTGGGAGTGTAGATTAGTATTGTCTCTGTGGAAAATAGTGTGGCGATTTCTAAAAGATCTAAAAATTGACCTTCCATACAACCCAGCAATCCCCTTTCTGGGAATATACCCAGAAGGACTCAAATCAATCCACAAAAAAAGATACCTGCACACACGTTTATTGCAGCACTATTCACAATAGCAAAAACATGGAACCAACTGTGATGCCCACAGAAACTGGACTGGATTTAAAAAATGTGGTACATATACATCATGGGCTATTATGCAGCCATAAAGAAGGACAAAATTATGGACTTTGCAGCAACTTGGATGAATTTAGAGTCTATCATACTCAGTGATCTATCACAGAAGCAAAGAACTGAGTACCACATGTTCTCACTCATAAGCGGATCCAAAACATATATCATAATACTATCAGAAAGGGATTGGCAGTAGCAGTACACTGCCAGGGGAGGGAGGGGCACATAACACCAATAAAGGTAACTTATCCCCAGCCAGGCAAAGTGGGGGCAAAAGGGAGGCACAAACTTCACCTGTACGATGACTACTTATGTACCTAACCCTGAATTGTACCCCACATCTTTAAAATAAATGCTTAAAAAATAAAAAGCTTGTGTGATTAGCTTAGGCCTACCCAGATAATCTCTTACTTACACTCAACTGTGCCATATAATATAAACTATGGTATGAGTAAAATCTATCATATTCATAGTCCCAGGCAATATGCAGGGTGTACTAGTGAGCAGGAAATATCAGAGACCATCTAAAAATTCTGCCATATCTGTTGTAATAAAAAGACCCAAACTACCATGGTTTAAACATGATAGAAGTTTATTTTTCTCTCTCACATAAGTGTCCAAGTGTAAGTACTCTATTAACATGGTAGCCCTTCAGTTATTCTGCCTTCTCCAAGGAAGTAGTCCTTATCTTCAAGATCCAAGATAATTCACCACTATGTGTGCTGAGTCCCTTCCCAACAAGTGAGATGGGGAAAAGAGGAAGGAGAAGGCATACCCTTTCTTTTAAGGGCACAGCCTGGCAACTACATACATCACTCAATCACATGGCCACACCTAGCTATGAGGAAAGCTACACAATCTAATCTTTATGTTCAGGGTTACGCACCCAGTTAAAGTCAGAGATTCTATTAGTAAACAAAAAGGAGACCATGAATACTGGGAGACAGTTAATGGCTTTTACCACTAGTTGAGCAGTAGAAGAGTGAACATTCTTCTTCCCGATGCCCTCAAGGCTTACTCCCTCATTTCAAGTCTCTGCCCAAAAGCCACCTTATAAGTGAGTTCTTCCCTAACTATCCAACAGAAAACAGCAATACTCTTGCCAACCTCCTTGTCCTCCTTACCCTGCATTATTTTTCTCCATAGGACTTGCTACCATCACATATAAATATTGATTGTTTATGGTCTATTTCCCCTAACTAGAAATATAAGCTTCATGGCAGCAGATTGTGAATACTCCCTATTCTATACCCAGTGCCGGGTGGTAGGCATCATGAGAAGGTGATCAGAAAATATTTGTGGAAAAAATACATAAATGTATAACAACCTTTTTGTGAGTAAGAAAATAGGCTCTGGAGTCAGACTACCTGGATTGAAATCCTGACTTCACTACTTACTAGTCATGAGATATTTTACCTTAGTTTCATTTTTTGAAAATGAAGAGAATAATAGTGTCTATCTTACAGGACTGTTATGAGTATTAAATGAATTAATGCATACAAAATGTTTTAGAATAGAGCTGATAGATAGTAGGCACTTGATATAATTGTTATGTGTTTGTTGTTCATTTTGACATAATGGTGAACAGGACATAGGGTTCAGTGAGGACATGAATAAGAGCATGGAGAACTCTTCCAGGAAAGAGCAAGG